GGTGATGCTGTGTTTTCCCAAGATGCGTCTGATGGTGGTGATGCTCACATGGTTTATGTTGTTGAACACTTGCCTGTCTGCAAGTATTTGCTTTCGTAGCTGGTGGAGACAGATGGAATTGTCTGCCCTCACTAGGTCCACAACAGCAAGTTCCTGCCGTTGTGTGAACAGGCGTTGGCGTCCTCCCCCAGAAGGTCTTCGAGTCATTCTGGAGAAATACAACCACATACTGTCATCGGTTTGCTTATTTTTCTTACAGTACTTTACTGTATATACTGTATCATCCACTGTACAACACTGTACTTCAATATAAGTAATCATGGTATGTTTCACAGAAACTACCACTTTGGCTGCAAAAGGAGCATTAGCACCCTGCAGTACGCTGTACACTTGATATGGTGATATACTGTAGAACAGTACTATAAAACCATCTGAGTAGAGTAGAAGGCAGTGAGATGAAGACAGACCTGTTTTCTAGTCGGAATGTTCGTATTACAGATGCCACTGTGAAGCGGCTTAGATGTGGGTGGACTCTCTGCCCAGCTTCCCTCATAGTCAGGCCGTGGTTGATGACATGGTCCACCAAAGTTGCTCTTATATCATCAGAAATATGGGTCCGTGCATGGCCTCTTTGACCTCCTCCTCCTCTTCCTCTTGCTCTCCCTCCATCCATGCTTGCAAAGTTCTTGAAATGGCTACGCTGAGGGCTTTTTGTGGTTGGCTAATTGGTGTTCAGTTTTGCAAGTAAGTGCCTTCAGGTGTATATTTGAGTGGTTGCAATTACCCGATGTGTTTTGTATTTTGGATACATGTGCTTTCCAAATGGCACCCTGAAATTTCATTTTTGAACGAAGTGTCTTATGTATGAAATAGAGTGTAGTATGCAGGACCATGTGTGTTGCATAAAGGAGTAAGTGTGTTGCATAATTGCAACCAGAGTGCAAAGCAGCACTTTTGTTTAAGGTATGGGTACATGTGTTTGAGGTATGGTAACAAAAGCTTCAAGTTGTGTTACTTTAGTATAAGCATGGGTTTATAGTGTTCAAGCAACGAGCAAAAACTGTAAGAACATGCTTCCTGCTGGGATTTATTTAGGTAGCATGTTCAGATGACCAAATCACACTATCAAAACATGCTTCCTGCATAGTTTTATTTAGGTAGCATGTTCAGATGGCCAAATCACACTATCAAAACATGCTTCCTGCATGGTTTTATTTAGGTAGCATGTTCAGATGGCCAAATCACACTATTACAGTTTTTGCCCGTTGCTTGAACACTATAAACCCATGCTCAGACTAAAGTAACACAACGTGAAGCTTTTGTTACCATACCTCAAACACATGTACCCATACCTTAAACAAAAGCGCTGCTTTGCACCCCAGTACCAATTATGCAACACTCCTACTCCTTTATGCAACACACCTACCCCTTTATGCAACACACATGGTCCTGCATGCTACACTCTATGTCATACATAAGACACTTCGCTCACAAAATGAAATGTCAGGGTGCCATTCGGAAAACACATGTATCCAAAATACAAAACACATGGGGTAATTGCAACCACGCAAATACACACCTGAAGGCACTTACTTGCAAAACCGAACACCAATTAGCCAACTACAAAAAGCCCTCAGCGTAGCCATTTCAAGAACTTTGCAAGCATGGATGGAGGGAGAGGAAGAGGAAGAGGAAGAGGTAGAGGAAGAGGTAGAGAAGGAGGAGGAAGAGGAGGAGGAGGCCGAAGAGGCCATGCACGGACCCATATTTCCGATGAAATAAGAGCAACTTTGGTGGACCATGTCATCAACCACGGCCTGACTATGAGGGAAGCTGGGCAGAGAGTCCACCCACATCTAAGCTGCTTCACAGTGGCATCTGTAATACGAACATTCCGACTAGAAAACAGGTATGTCTTCACCTCCATACCTTCTGCTCTACTCAGATGGTTTCATAGCACTGTTCTACAGTATATCACATTACCATATCAAGTGTACGGGGTGCTAATGCTCCTTTTGCAGCCAAAGTGGCTGATTCCTTATATTGAAGTACAGTGTTGTACAGTGGATGACACAGTACGTACAGTAAAGTACTGTAAGAAAAATAAGCAAACCGATGACAATATGTGGTTGTATTCCTCCAGAATGACCCGAAGACCTTCTGGGGGAGGACGGCAACGCCTGTTCACACAACAGCAGGAACTTGCCGTTGTGGACCTAGTGAGGGCAGACAATGCCATCCGTCTCCACCAGCTACGACGGAAAATACTTGCAGACAGGCGAGTGTTCAGCAACATAGACCATGTGAGCATCACCACCATCAGACGCATCTTGGGTAAACACAGCATCACCATGAAGCAGCTCTACAGAGTCCCATTCGAGAGGAACAGTGACAGGGTCAAAGGACTTCGAGCTGAATATGTACGGGTACGTGTAACTGTCCCTTACATTTACAATAGAGTATTGGTGAAGTCCAGTAGCAGCTGAATATGTACCATATCAGTACCACATGGATCTATTCTGAGAGCTACACAGGTACCTGTGTGATGGGGTGAGGGTGCTGTATGTGTAGCACTGTAGTACAGTGACATGTTCCCCTTTTTTTCAGAGGATCATGGCCATGGATGGAGCTGCACAGCCTCATGAATACATTTTCATTGATGAAGCTGGATTCGACCTGAGCAAAACAAGACGACGGGGTCGTAATGTAATTGGCCAAAGGGCAGTTGTGCACGTCCCAGGGCAGCGCGGGGGAAACATCACATTATGTGCCGCCATATGCCTTCGAGGACTTCTGCACCATCATGCAATGCTAGGTCCATACAATAGCCAACACATACTCACATTTCTAGATGCTCTCCATAACATAGTTGTACAGAACAGACCAGATCAGCCCAGGTTTGTGGTGATATGGGATAATGTCAGTTTCCATCGGGCTGCTCTGGTCCAGGCCTGGTTCACCGACCACAATCAATTTGAAGTGGTATACTTGCCCCCTTACTCACCATTTTTAAACCCTATTGAGGAATTTTTTTCGGCTTGGAGATGGCGAGTATATGACCGCCAACCACATGCCCGCATGCCTCTTCTGCAGGCAATGGAACAGGCCTGCGGCGACATTGAGGTGACAGCGATCCATGGATGGTTTCGGCATGCAAGAGGGTATTTTCCCCGGTGCCTAGCGGGAGAGGACATAGCTTGCGATGTTGATGAGGTCCTGTGGCCAGACCCCAACAGACGGCGGGATCCATGAGCCCACTTATGCACACTTGTCATGGTTTTTTGTGTTTACAGTATAGTGTTTTTTCTATTGCAGTATTATTGTGTTGTGGTTTTTTTTTTTTTTGCTTCATCTGAATTCATGGTACTGCGATGTACACTATTGAGTAGGTCTATTTGCGTTTTTGGTTGTTTGGAAATGTGTCTCCTGTAAATGTGCCTTCTGAATAAACAATGGAAATCAAGGACTGCAGTGTTTTATGTAAAGAAGACTAGTGTGTTCCCCCTGATCTGTAAGTGTTTGCATATGATGCAAGTATGTGTCATTTTGTCAACAGAGTTACATTTTGACAGAGGAATGTTAGGTTTTGACTGCAGAGTTTAGGTTTTGGGAGTGGAGTTTCATTTTGGCACAGATGTGTATGGTATATTTCCCAGTGTTGTGTCGTGTTTACTTGTGTTTAGAGTTTTGGCACAATGAGCGACGTTTTGCCAAATGTGTTCAAGCAACGGGCAAAAACTGTAAAACATGCTTCCTGCATAGTTTTATTTAGGTAGCATGTTCAGATGGCCAAATCACACTATTAAAACATGCTTCCTGCATAGTTTTATTTGGGTAGCATGTTCAGATGGCCAAATCACACTATTAAAACATGCTTCCTGCATGGTTTTATTTGGGTAGCATGTTCAGATGGCCAAATCACACTATCAAAACATGCTTCCTGCATAGTTTTATTTAGGTAGCATGTTCAGATGGCCAAATCACACTATTAAAACATGCTTCCTGCATAGTTTTATTTGGGTAGCATGTTCAGATGGCCAAATCACACTATTAAAACATGCTTCCTGCATAGTTTTATTTGGGTAGCATGTTCAGATGGCTAAATCACACTATTAAAACATGCTTCCTGCATAGTTTTATTTGGGTAGCATGTTCAGATGGCCAAATCACACTATTAAAACATGCTTCCTGCATAGTTTTATTTGGGTAGCATGTTCAGATGGCCAAATCACACTATTAAAACATGCTTCCTGCATAGTTTTATTTAGGTAGCATGTTCAGATGGCCAAATCACACTATCAAAACATGCTTCCTGCATAGTTTTATTTGGGTAGCATGTTCAGATGGCCAAATCACACTATTAAAACATGCTTCCTGCATGGTTTTATTTGGGTAGCATGTTCAGATGGCCAAATCACACTATCAAAACATGCTTCCTGCACACAATCATCTAATGTTGACAAAGAATGCAAAGAGACATGGAGGGGGAAAGACAGCTGTTTTTACAGTTTTACTCAAATGCTAAAACACATGTCACAAACGTTACCACCAGGTCCCCCAATGTCCAAACACAACACCCTTCTCTAAAGCTACATAAACACAACCACACCTTCCCACTGCAAAACTCAAACTCCCACACCAAGAGAGCAGCTCGAAGCTGTCAAAACTGTAAACACTATACACAGCATTACACACTACAGCAAAACAATTGAAAACACAATGCTCAATTTGTGAGAAGGTTCTTTGGTTCATAACTGCCAATGCATATTTTCATAAACTGTACAGTAACGGATCGTCATAGAAGCCTGCAGAGGATTAGGCATTTAGATTTGTGAGTTTCACATGAAGACTATAAATCTATAAAAACACCCTGCATGTACGTACACTACTGTAACACAACTCAATGCAAAAACAGAATCTATCGCACACAACAGTACTCTCGGAAACATGATCAGGGTGTGAAGTCTTTTTTACTGTCTACACGGTCATTTGACAGTATTACACACAGTCACTGTGCGGCATCATGTCGCCGAGCTGCATTGGGCCACATCACCTCATCCACATCACAGGCTATATTGTCCCTTGCTAGGCACCGCGGGAAAAACGCCCTGGAATGGCGAATCCATCCCTGGAAGGCCTCCACTGGGATGTCAGCACAGGCCAGCTCCATTGCCCGTACGAGGTTCTCTCTTGTGTATGGCTGTCTGTCATACACCTTCCATCTCCATGATGAGAAGAACTCCTCTATAGGGTTCAGGAAAGGGGAGTAGGGTGGCAGACAGACGTTTAAAAAGTGGTCACTGTTGGTGGTGAACCACTCTCTGATTTGGTGTGTCTTGTGGAAGCGGACGTTGTCCCAAATGATCACATACATGTGATGTGCTAGCCTAGGATGGTGTTGTTGACGGTCCAGGAGGATGTCTTTTAGCTCCTCTAGGAAGGTGAGGAGACGTTGGGTGTTGTAAGACCCAAGGACAGCATGCCGGTGGACAAGCCCCTCCGTACCCATAGCTGCACAAAGAGTAATATTACCCCCCCGTTGGCCAGGAACCTCAGTGATGGCTCTCTGGCCAATGATGTTACGGCCCCTTCGCCTTCGTTTCTGGAGGTTGAAGCCAGCCTCATCCAGGAAGAGGTACTCATGGGGTCTGGCCATCGCGTCCAACTGCATTATCCTCTGTGAACATGGAAAAGCGTACAGGTGTTCAGAACGGTCAATCAGGTAGCACAGTATTGTCCAGAAGTAATGTAGGCCACTAAGCAACACAGTATGTCCACTAACTGTACTGTGGACATGGATGTATACGTACTTGCACATACTCGTAACGTTGTCCTATGTGTCGCGCAGAGTTGCGCTCAAAGGGAACCCTGTAGACCTGTTTCATCCTCATCTGTTGGCGCCGGAGAACTCGGTCTATTGTGGACACGCTGACAGCATCAATGTTCTCAAAGTTTACATTATCTGCAATGACTTTGTCTCTGATCTCTCGGAGTCTAATGCAGTTGTTCTCACGGACCATATCTGCAATGAGGGTTTCTTGTGCCGCTGTGAATATGGCAACCCTCCCACCTCTATGTGGCATTCTTTCAGCTCTAAAGAAAGAAACATGTGTTGTCAATTGACTGATTTATATGTAAAACTACATGTAAGGTAACAGACCACTTTCACAGGCCTGTAAAACTGTAGTGTGACAAAGAAAGCAATAGCCTACTATACCTGTTGTGTTGTCTAAATGCCTTGATAATGGTGGCCACACTCAGGTTTGGATGTACTCTTCGTCCTGCTTCAGCCATTGTCATGCCATGGACAATGACATGGTCAATTACTGTTGCTCGCATATCATCTGTTATGATGGTGCGAGGTTGTCTTCTTCTCCCACCTGGACCTTCTCCTCTCTCTTGTTGGCCTCCTTGTCTTCCTCCTCTACTCCGAACTCCTCTTCTTCTTAGGCCTTCACCTCTTCCTCCTCTGATCTCAACCCCTCTTCCTCTTTGGCCTGCAGCTCTTCTCCTTCCGCACGAATGCCTTCATCCATTCTGATTGTTTGGCATCTTCACCAAACTATGCTTTCATAGGTGGGGTCACATCATTAGCAACAGGTGTCTTCAATTTTGAGTCGTTGTGTGTAGTGACTGACGCCAGGTGTGTTCCCTGTGTTCACAGATTGGTGACTGTGGCAAGCATTTTGCATCACATGGGCTTTCATTTGAGAATATGAGCAGAGTTGTTTTGCAACATGTGTTTTGGCAAGGAAAAATGTGTTTAGATTTATGAGTACGGAGGGTTGTGTTTTGTGAATTGTGTCTTCATGTGACATGTGTTTATGGTACTGGAATATGGTGGCTACATTTAGTAAATGTGTTTAGACTACTGGTCATTTGGGTTACAGGATTGGCTTTTGTGTTTTAACATTTGAGAAAAACTGTATTAGAAGTTGTTATGTGTTTTCCTTACATTTTTTGCATTTATATTCTTGGTTGCTCTCTTTATATTTTGCACATGCAAAATGTGCCCATCTTTGGCAAGATTCACACTGCACCTGGAAAGGAAAAATAAATAGCTCATATTATGTTTGGTGAATACTATTAGTCAACATTTTAAACATGATTAGCAAGTAATGATACTAAGACTTATGTGTTTCTTTTGTTTTGTTTTACCATTTCAATCATGCTGCGGTCAGCGTCAGCATCTAACATAGAGCAAACAATGCAGTAATCCTCAGCGTTCCCTGAAACACATTCATGGTTAGGTTTTAATCAAACATTATTTATTGATTAATTAAAAAATAATAGTAAATTTGTTCCACAAATACTTCATGGCAAATTAGTCCCTTGAATTTTTTTAATTAGACTTAAAGAAGGGTCTTATCTGAAAGTGTTTGAAAAGCAGTATTTAAATTGGAAGTACACACTCTAACGTGATAAGGACTTTACTGGACTTACCTCGATGTTCAAGTAGGGTGCAAGCTATCTGCATTCGCTCCAGTACAACTGCTTCTGTAGTGGTTAATACTTCACTGACCTCTCCAAAAGCAAGGTAGTGTTCTGCAAACTGAGATTTCTCATTATTATAATGTAAAGTCCTAATTGTAGCTAACAATAAATGGAATCATTTGAATAAGGGTTACCTTTAACAGCAAAACTCCGCAACTGCTGGAATCCTGTTGCTTGTTGTGTTGCATAGTCTGTAACTGCCACTCCATGGTGTCTTCATGCCCTCTCATCCTCAGAAAATTCCTATTTGAACAAAAATGTTTGTAATGAAACAAGAAATGTTTTATCTAAGAATAATACCTCAGTATCATGCATACCTCCAGTTGCGCAGAATTTTCCTGTCATAAACACCTTCATTCCCCATGGAATAGTCTATGAGCAGTATTCTCTGTGCAGAAATGTTGACAATCTAAAGAAAAAGTTAATAAATTAAAAATTACTATAGTTTTTGCCACTGAAAACCTATTTAAGAATAACACTTTCAGCAAGAAACTGCTTCACAACAAATTAATAACTAAATGGACACATACCACAAGAATCCAGTGCATACCAAAGTTCACAGGGCACAACCACATGACATTTACATGGTGGCTTCTTCTGTACGGCTTGATATGGTCAATGCTGTAGTGATTTTTTAAAGTTGCTCCTTCCGTGTTTTTTAATCTCACACATTTGCCAGCGATGTCTTGAATGGTGTAGGGTCCTGAAAAATCTGGATCAAACCTTCCTCCCTTCCTTCCACGTTTCCTCATGTTCAAGAGAAGAACTTCATCTCCAACGCTGTACACAAGGTTTCTGTACTTCTTCTGGACTCGTCTGGCATAGGCTTCCTTTTGTAAGTCTTGGGACTTTGCCATATTTTCCTCTACAGTTTTTTTTAACTTGCCCTTGTGTGTCTCTTGTAGAAGATACAAAGTCACCGTAACTCGACTCCTCAGGGAGAATGATGGAGGACAGCTAAAATTTTCACATTTTAAATTACAATTAAAATCATAAAGACAAATAATGCATGTGAAACATGAACTGAAAAATCTAACTATAATAACTCATGTTTAAAAGTAAATATACTATTATAAAGCTTTGAGCACAGAAAGCCACAAAGATAGACTCATATCATTTTTTGTATAGTCATTTTTACTCTTGATACACTTCCATAGGTGAACACATTATACTTAACGGTCTCCTCAAGATGTATTACTTTACATAAAGATACAAATATAAAGAAGTAACTAGTCACTTTCTTTATCTTTTAAATGTATCTTGCATATAGAAGTTAAGCAGAGAAGATTAAAGCTGCAGCCAATATCAATATGCACAATTTCCAATTAAGATTACATTTAATTTATGCATTATCATAGTTGTTGCATAAATAGAATTCCTTAATAACACTTACTGGGACTTCAACAGGAACTTCAGAAGGATATGTAGCTTCTCTCCCATACATTAAACGGAATGGTGTGTATTTGGTTGTGGTGTGGACCTTGGACCTCAAAGAAAACAGTGTAGCATCCAGATACACATCCCAGTCATTCTGTTGACTGTTGACTAATTTTCTCAGGGCTCTACATGTGGACATAAAAAAAAACACAATAGTGACAGTGTCTTAAAAGCAAATGAAATGTTACATACAAATAAAACATACCTTTTTATGTTGTCATTTGTCTTTTCGTCTAGGCCATTTGTCTGAGGGTGATATGCTGCTGTGACACTTCTTTCTATTTTCATTAAGCTGCAAAGTCTTGAGTTGAGCTTCAAAGAAAAAAGAAAATTGTTTTTTAAAAACAACCACACAAAACCTTTGGCCTGGCAGCTACTTGGCACACTGTGACCAAGTATTTACCTAAAGAGGTATGGAAAAGTAAACTTAACACTTACCTCGTTAACAAATTCTCTTCCTTGGTCGGATAAAATTCGTTTTGGGCAGCCATGTCTATATATGAGTGAGCACAACTGATGAGCTACCTCAGCAGCACTTTTGCTTTTTAATGGAAAAGCCTCAACCCATTTTGAAAATTAGTCTGTTGCAGTCATAATGTACTGGAAGCCACTAGACGTTTTTGGAAGAGGTCCAGTTAGATCTATTCCGATTAGCTCCCAGACATGTGACACCTGTCAATGATAAAAGAATCACATTAATATGTAATGTACATTATAACATTACTATTTTCTACTAAAATGCTACTGATATTTACCTTTATACACTGCAGTGGTTGCACAGCAGCCAATGGTTTTCCCATTTTTTGACACTGGTCACAAGCCAGGACCTTAAACATATTGAACGATCTTTATATTACCCAACAATCGCAATTAATTAAACAACAAAATTGTTCTATAAAAATACTCGATCAAGTGGCGAAACAGTGTTAATTACTGTACATCATCCTGAAATCTGGTACGTGTCTTCAGGATAACTATGCATTCTATTGGTGCACTATTAACATACTATATATAAATAACAACTTTAAAAATACATACCCAATTCCCAATGTCAACCGACATGCCATACCAGTAAAATCTGGAACAAATTGCAGTTCGAGTCTTGAGTACACCAGTGTGTCCACCGATGGGACTTGAATGAAACTCTTGGAATAGTCCCATGGCTTCTTCTTTTGTTTTTATCACTCTCCTGTTTCCAAACAAGAGCACTCCGCCTATATTTAAAAAAATGTAAATTAATTATAACATGTATTTAACCAATAATTACATTTAGTTGTTTATTTACATTACAATACTGACCCTTCAGTCTGAATTTTGCGGCGTATCTCCTAAGGGTTTGCCTCTGGGACTTATCGTATTCCGATGGGTAGGACCCAGCAGACAGAAACATGAGCAGTTCCTCGTATTTGTTCTCCATAACTAAGGAGAAAATCGGACAATTTCAACATGGCTTCGGAATCCATACAGTAAAATAAAACGACTACACGACGTTATCACGCAATTAACAAGTATGTGGTGCAGTAGTACTTTCTTCGACATAACAACGGAGCGTTTATTCACCATAACAACGGAGCGTGGTGTCCAGTAACTGCAGGAGGACTAAAATAAATTGAGAAGGTTTGCAGAAGTTGAAAAGCACAAAATAAACACTTGGAATATGACTTCAAGTGAGCAGCTTAAGGTAAACAATTATCATCTGTAATAAAGAAGTAAAACTTATAATACAAACCTTTTTTCGAAAGCAACGAGATCAGCACAAGATCGGGGTAGGATGAAATAATAGGCGTGTACTATTTACACCGGAAACATGGCCGTTTTGAATTGTGCGCATGCGCAGTAACAACAAGTAGGGCAGCTTGATGGGTAGGACGTTTTGTCAGAACACCGGCACTGTCCTACCCCGATATCTTCACGTATCTTGTTTGTGGAGTAAGCGCTTACACAGCGAACCAGTTTCGTAATTACAAGTCACTGGAGGCGCACATCCAATTTACAAATGGCTGGGTGCAAGATTTGGCTATTTTCAAGCCGCCAAACTCTGAGTACGTCGTCAAAGTAAGTCAGCTGGAGTGCATCGAGTGAAATAGCCATTGTCCACCCCCCACCATAATTAATGTTATACATTTATCATTGAACTGCTAAAATAACGTTATCATATTATATGCCCGTAATTGTAAAGTACATGCAAATTAACACCTTGATAATCGGGTAAATTATTAACGCCAATTTGTGTCCTTCCTGTCTCATTTCATTTATTGTCTTTACATCAACCAATCAAGTCACTCCATTCGATGTTTGATCGCAATTTCTATAACTTCCGAGACCACCAACGATGATATTATTCAGCTATAAAGTGTGATGTG